GGGGGGGGGGGGGGGGGGACTCATGAGAGATCCATGGCCCTGTGGTTAGGGCAGCAAGATCTCACATGGCCAACAGTAATTCAAATCTCAGCTGTAGTGGCTTGAAAAACAAGCCAAGAGGAACCAGCAGTTAGCGTAATGGCTATGTCGCTGGACTCCCACGTAGTCGACCGCGGTTCGCGTCCCGGACCCAGTGGCTTAAAACTCATGCCGGGCGCGTGTGCGTGCGAGCCCAAGATCCTGAGAGGAGAATGGAGCAGAAGGGATTGCGGCATGACCATCCCCCCCTGGGGGGGGATTTCTCGCTTTCTGTCTCTATGTCTCTCCGTCTGTCTGGCGAGTGCATGCGCCCTAGAGTGAAAAAACCTCTCCAAAAAAAAAAAAAAACAAACAAAAAAAGTCAAGCACGCATGCCTGTGTGCCCCAAATCCCAACAGGATGGAGAGATGAAGAAGAGACTGGGCCATGACCGTGCCCCACTAGGGAGGTCCTTTCTCCCTCTCTCCCTTTTTTTTCTGTTTCTTTCTGACAAGCATGTGCATCTTGACAATTTAAAAACAAAACAACTCATGAGAATCTAAATAAACAAACACGTGAAGGAAAAACAATGCTTCCCAGATCCATGCACACAGCAATATGACTAACCAAATGACATTAGTAAGAATAAAGGCAAAGCATGGAAGTGTGCCGACAAGGACAAAAGCCGGTTTAAGAAGGAAAGGAGAAAGGTGGCTCTACCAGAGAACAGAGCTAACACCTCTCCAGAGCTACCCACCTACGTCTCCTGCGGATCCCTCACCCACTTATCAGCGTCTGTGTAAAACTAAGCTTTCCAGGCACTGAGACGCCAGACACAGAAGGGAATACAGGACATACGCATTCCGCTCACTGGAAAGAGACTCACCTCCATTTAGAAAAAATAAATGGCAGTTAATTCTAAGTCTCATGTGAGTAATGAGTGTGGTTCTGTCATGGATCATCTATAGGAATGCTGAGAAAGTCCAGTTTCTGGTTCAATAAGGCCAAGGCTTGGATCAGGAAGTCAACGACTCAAAGTGCTGATGTCTGTGATCTAGTGATATGGTTAGCAGTAGCTGAGAACTCTAAAGGGCAATCCCATCACCACCCTCTCAAATGCCCCCAACTTCAAACAAATTTGGCTAATGTTCTCAAGGCTTCAGATTGGGTCCCTACAGTAAAAATAGCAGCAGCAACAATAACCAGAAAAAGTAAACTTAAAAGTCTTTTCTTTTTTTTAAAAAAAAAAAACCTCTTAGGTTTTTGACAGGAAAGGAGTAGTACTTACATTAACAAAATCTCCACCCTGAATCATGAAATCCTTTATGACTCTGAAACAGACAGCAAAAGATCCTGAGAAAGGATTCTATGGTTTAGAAAAACACTGATGTAGGCATTGTAATATGAGATTAAAATTAATTTCAAAATAGGGCTTATCGCTTTGGCTTACAAAAGTTATTCTTTTCTGGAATGAGTGGATTTTTGTTAACATAATAAGGGGTTTAATTATAAATAAGGGCAACTTAAAGTTGATCTAAGTGCATAATCTAGTTCTGAACAGTAACAAGAGAAGGAGCTTAAACCCCACAGGAAAAGTTATCAAAATATTCACCAAGTTGGGACCAGCAGTTAGTGTAATGGCTATGTCGCTGGATTCCCATGTAGTCGACTGCGGTTCACGTCCCGGATCCGGTGGCTTGAAACTCATGCCGGGCACGTGTGTGTGTGTGCCCAAGATCCCAAGAGGAGAATGGAGGAGAAGGGATTGCAGTGTGGCCATCCCCCCTGGGGGGTGATTTCTCGCTTTCTGTCTCTCTGTCTGGCAGGCCCACCCGCTCTGTAGCAAAAACCTCTTAAAAAAAAAAAAAAATTCACCGAGTCAAGTTAATGGCCTAATGTAAACTCTGGAGAAGAAAACAGAGAATATGTGAAAAGGACTGCTTAATACCTGTCAGCTATTTCCCCATTAGGTAAGGTCTTTAATTTGTCTTGGCCTCAGTTTCCTCCTCTACAGAATGTGGATAACTCTTATCACCTCAGAAGAGTGTTACCGAGGATTAAAGACCATAGCTCTGAGGCTCCTAATATTCTTTCACACTAACATAATTACTAGCCACATTCCATTTCCAGTAGCCCCAGAATATATGACTACCCTAGGATAATCAAACATGATCATTTAGAGAACAGGTTATAAATATTGACCAACAGAATACATTATATGCACTGAAGAACTACAACATTTTATTAAAATCTGCATTCATATAAACAAGGGCATGAAAAAACAAAATATTGGTAGGATGGGTAGTTTCTGCTTTAAATACATAAAATTTCCATGTGCAGGTGCTCTATCATAAATGAGGGGAGAAAAATCAATGGAGGCATATAAGTAGAGATAGAACATTTAATAAATCTCTAGGTCAACTGCAGAGTCTACCAAACCATTTCTTCTCAAGATGTAAAAATTAGTCTCTGGTTTTATTTTCCTCCAAGTAGCCTAATCCCCCAAGGAAATACTTCTGAAAGCCCCCAGGATAGCTTGCCAAAAGCCTTACCTGTGAAAGGTGCTCCCTTTGTAGCCTATTGGAACTCCATCTTTTCTATAACGAAAAAGAAAGAGACTTGGAATGATGATAGGAAATCATAGGCCTTTCTATTTATGACACACTCAAGTCAAAGGGGCTCTCCACTCTTATGGGTGGTTGAGTGAAGAGATAAAGAATTCAGATGAATTAAGGATAGACCTCTGGGGTAAAACCCTCTATTATGGCACCAGCCAGCCTTCACTAAAAGCTCCCCGGTGGTTCCCCACTACCCTCACTGCAGCCCCAGAGCACACTGACAGGCCAGGCAGAGAAGCCAACCATGTCTGAAACTGACCTGAATTCTCCAGTGCAGAACTGCCTGAAAGGGAAAAAGAGTGAAGGATTCAGTCACCATGACATCACCGCTTTGAGCGCCTCTCATGTCAGGAGGGGCCAGTACAGACCTTGGCGCCAGCAAGCGGACTGAACGATTAGCCTAAGCAGGAAGTCCAGACAGGCAGGCACACGGACTAACGTAAACTGACACGGGAAATGCCAAAACTCTAACCATCCAAACACAGCAATACCCAGAGGATGAGATCTCAAGGTCAGTGAGTGGACACTAGAGGCAGATGGCCGATTCCGCAGAGGGACAGAGACCCGGATTCTGGTTCGGCTCATCCGGCAGAGCTCGAGGATCCCCTTACCTAAAGTTCTCTGCCGTCTTAGGCACAACGTCTGCAAAAAGCTCGATCTTCATGCGGCCAACTTCCTGCAATCGGCAGGAGATGGTCAGAAGGCCCAGTCCAAGACCCGGAGAGCCGCAGGGGCTGCCCCCACCCGGCACGTCGCTCCTTTATCTCCCACCTCCGCCTCCCATGCCTAACCTTTCATGCCGCCCAGTTCCTCCAGAAGCGGGGCGCTAGATCGGGCAAGGCCTCCTCCTTCCTTTCCTTCCCTCCCCCCTGACCAGTAGGTCGGTATGTTCTGGTGCAATTTTGCTTTTTGGCTTCCCGAATCCGCTCTCCGGGATTGGGAGTTCTGGCTGCCTAGCCGTGCCATTTCCCCTCGGCGCACGCTGGGTGTCCGCCTGGATCTCACCTGGCCGCCAATGCTGACATCAAAGAACACCACGGGGTTGACGGGGCTTGAATTTGCCACCGCCATGGCTCTGACCCGGAAGCAGAAGTCGAGAACGCTGGGTTCCGGCGAACCTGAACCCCGCTCTGCAGAGCTCGCCCCCCGCGCAGGCGCAGTAGAAGCCGACTGAGGCCCGGCCCCGGCCCCGCCCCCGCAAGCCCCGCCCTGCCGCGCTGCGCGCGCTGGCAACAGAGGATGGGGGTTTCTCCCAGGGGTTGGGTGGATGCGGTAAAGCGGCGAAGCCATCGACCTCTTTTTGCTGAAGGTCAACGGGTGTCTACACCTGTAGCTGTAAAAGTGCAGGACGAATGAATCTTGCTGGAGCTTTTGGACTTGACAGGCTCCACGGTCCCTATCGGCACTTGCAGCTCAGACCTCTGAACCGTCAGGCATGCTGTTTCTTTTCATTTAAAAAAAAAAAAAGATTTAATTTTATCATTGTCATTATTTTATTTTTTTTAAGATGACTGGAGAGAGAGAGAGAAGGAAAGTGAGAAAGTAAGCTGCCAGGTCCGGGACTGGAACCAGAGTCAGCCATGTGGGAGTCCGGCCGCCTTAGCCACCTCGCCACCTGCTGGCCCCAGGCATGCTGTTTTTTACCTCTAGTTGTCAGCCCCCAGGGCAGGAGCTCTGGTGTGTTCGTCCTCAGCATTTTGGACAGCTTGGCATAATAAGGCTTGATCATTAAATACTTACTCCTTCCTATTTCTTCCTCAAGGCAAGATGTGAGAATCTTTTATTTCTTTTTGTTGTTGTTCTTTTTAACACTATATTTTAAGACAAAATATCTGTTGCTCACTTTCCAAAATTAGTAGTTATCCAACAATGTGGCCTACTGATCACTGGTGCACAATGAAAGAGTACATTATCATTTTTTTTTTAATCTTAGTTTTACTTCTGCCATAAGCTTCCAGTTTTGTCACCACCAATACATTACCCACAGGGAAGCTAGAGGGTTTTAAATTACTCTCAACTTGACAAATCACTCCTGGCTTTCTATATTTAGAATAAAACCCAATCACTTACAAACGAAGCCGCTACAATGGATTGATCTAGCCACCTTCTTCGGGCCTCATCTCATGGCATATCCCTGTTACTATCTGGTCTTTCTGTTTCTCACTGTCAAGGCAATCAATGCTTTCTTTTCTTTTTTCTTTTGTTTTTTGAGATGTTTTTGCTATAGGGCACGTGCACTTGCCAGAAAGAGAGACAGACAAAAAGTTAGAAATTGACACCCCCCCCCCGAGGGGGCGTGGCCATGCCACAATCCCTTCTCCTCCATTCTCCTCTTGGAATTTTGGGCATGCGTGCACATGTGCCTAGCGTTGAGTTTAAGACACTGGGTCTGGGACCTCGAACTGCGGTTGCTACATGGGAGTCCAGTGACATAGCCATTACACCAACTGCTGGTCCCAATCAATGCTTTCTTTAGGGCATTGGTACAAGCTATTGAAATAATCATCTACCAGCTCTCGGTGAGAAAGGGGGAGAGGAGTACTCCCTGTAATTCAGGGCTCAGTCCAGATGTCACCTCTTCAGAGACAACGTTAGATCCGATCTAAAGTAGTCCTTGGTCACTCGGATCACTGGTTCCATTTCTTCATGCCATTCATCTTCCAAAATTCTCTTTACGTTATCTGTCTCCACACTTCATTCTCTGCCATTCACACATATATCCTCCTCCCTGATAGCATATAAACTCCATGGAAGTAGAGACTCTCTAGTTTGACTTGTTTATAGCCATAGCTTTAGTGCCTGGTATCAAATAATAGCATATAGTAGGTGCCGAAAAATAGATGCAATGAACTGAGTGAAAGATGGTGACCTTGGGGCAGGCTCAGTGTTAGAGTATGCATTTGATATACTAGCTACTTTTTCCAATATCCTCTCATCATCTTTTCTAGTTTTGTAATGTAAACAAGAATTATACATAAAAATCAGCATGTGTCAATTTTTAAAAATAATTATTTTGTCATTATTATTTATTTTTAATTTGACCAGAGAGAGACAGAGAGTCCAGCACCTCAACTACATGCCACACACCAGCACCCAGCATATTGTCAATTTAAGGGGATCTTTGTTTCTGGTTACTTTCCCTCTCCTCTTGGTCTCTATTTATTTCCAACTGAAGATGGAGGAGGAGGGGAATAGAGAAAAGAGAAGGAAGGGAAAAGATAATAGCAGCAGTCTCCCTTCAATATAGTTTTGTTTTGTTTTTAAGGTTTGTTTTTGTTTTTGTTTTGCCACACGGTACGTGTGGTTGCCAGAGAGAGACAGAGAGCTGACAATAAGAAAGTGAGAAATCACCTCCTAGAGGGATGGCCATGTCACAATCCCTTCCCTCCATTCTCCTCCTAGGATTATGGGCACATATGCACACGTGCCCAACATGGTTCCCAAGCCACCAGGTCCAGGACTTGAACTGTGGTCGCCCATGTAGGAGTCCAGTACCCCAATCACGCCACCTGCTGGCTGCCCTTCAGTATGGTTTTATGCCAACTATTTTAAAATCATTTTTGAAATGGATAATATCCAGCTGAAAAACCAGTACACTCGAACTGCAAGTGAAAATAAATGACTGGCACTTAGCAAGTATTTAAATGTTAAAGACATTACATGTTCATTTCATTTAGTCTTCACAATTCTATGGGATAGATGCCGTCATTGTTCCTATCATATGGGCTTAGCAACTGAGGGTTAAGGAGGTTGAGTACCTTAACTATGGAAACAGTATTTTAGAACAATCTGTTTTTATTTTTATCTGTTTTTAAATTTTGCTATAGGGCATGTGTGCTCACCAGAGAAACAAAGAGCCACAGAGAAAGAAAGTGAGAAAGCATCCCCCTCCCCAGGTGGGACTGCTATATCATAATCCCTTCTCCTCCATTCTCCTCTTGGGATTTTGGGCGTGCACACATACATGTCCAGCATGCTTTTCAAGCTGCCAAGTCTGGGACCCAAATCACGCAGTCAGCCATGTAGGATTTAGCTGCCTTCACCACCACGCCACTGGCTGGCCCTCTACCGGGTTTATTTATTTATTTATTTTAGAATTTTATTTCATTTTACTTATTATTATATCTTGCTCTAGTCATCAGAGACAGAGAAAGTGAGAAAGAGAGCTGCCAGGTCCAAGAATCAAATATGGTTGACCATGTGGGAGTTCAGAACCCTAACAACCATGCCACTGCCTGGCCCCCAACCTGTTTTTAAAGCATGCAATGAATGATGTACCACAGCCACGTTAACATTTATATCTTTTGACCCAATTAGGCCATTCTCATGAATTTGTTTCTGGAGTCATCCAAGAGCAGAAGAGCTACATACACCAAGACCTTCACCACAGCATAAGTAATGGAAAAATAAAAACAACTCAAATATCAAACAAGAGAATAGCTAAGTAATTTATACACCATTATCATGGAAGAATATGTGGCCACTGAAAATCTTCTCATGGTATAGTAAATTAAAAATCAGACTACAAAAATAAATATACAATATGGTGACCACTTAAAATGCATGCTTTTGGGTAAGAACTAGAAGGGACTAACACTAAGACAAAATTAATTGCTTTAGGAATGTGGGATTGAGTGCAGAGCAGTCGGGTGGGCAGCAGGAGTGCTGCTTTGTGATGCTGGAAGCCACGTGGAAACACTCTGGGTTCACATTCATGTCTACCTCAATGTGCCACCCATGATCCTGACTGGCTCAGGGCTGGAGCAGCGGATGGTGGTATTAAAGACCCTGTCAAAGAAGTCTCTCTCTCTCTCTCCTTCTCTCATGTGAAAGAAATAAAGATACGTATTTTTTTTTTCCTGGAGAGGTTTTTGCTATAGGGTGTGTATGTTTGCCAGTAAGACAAGAGAGACAGAAAGTGAGAAATCACCCCCCCCACCACACAATCTCTTCTCCTCCATTTATCTCTTGGCATCTTGGGCACGCACGCACACATGCCTGGCATGAGTTTAAGCCTCCGGGTCTGGGACTTGAATCGTGGTCGACAACATGTGAGTCCAGCAACATAGCCATTATGCCAACTGCTGGTCCCAAAGATACATATTTTTTAAAGGAAGAGTGTGGGATTATAGGAGGGTTTTGTTTCATTTTAAAAATATTTGCTCTAGGGAACCAGCAGTTAGCGTAATGGCTATGTCGCTGGACTCCCACGTAGTCGACCCTCTGTCTGTCTGGCGAGTGCACGCGCCCTACAGTGAAAATCTCTCCAAAAAAAAAAATATATATATATATATATATATTTGCTCTAATGTGATTATACTTATTTTACTTTTTGAAATTATTTTTTAAAGTTTGCTATAGAGCATGTATGCTCACGAGAGAGAGAGAAAAAGTGAGAAAGCAAGCCACCAGGTCCAAGACTTGAACCATGGTTGGCCATGTGTAAGTCCAGCAGCTTAACCATCCCACCACCTGCTCCCCCACTGTTTTTACTTTTTATAAATAAATAATGACAATACCCATGGCAATTGGAAAGAATGATGAATTAATCTGTAAGTGCTCTGCTGAAGAGAAACCTAATTCAGTCATTAAACTTCCGTCACTATATTGATCAATACAAGGCATTTGGGAATAGCAAACAAACTTGAGAAATCTAATTTTAGTACTGGTTTAATAAACTTATCAGCAACCTGAAGACTCTTGGCTGATGTCCAGCGGGGTATGTGGTAACTTCTCCATGTCGCATTCCACCTTTGCACCCAGGCTTCGAGTCACAGCTTTGATCAGTACAGTTTTAGAGACCAGAGAGTTTACACTTCTGACTTCTGGTCTTGTTCTTGTATGCTGAGTGTCTCTTTTGGAGATGCCACATTTATGTATCCAGCCTCAGAATTCTGTGGACCTGAAGGAGACTCGGGGGACTTTGGGATTGCCATTGCGTCTTCTGATTGACGGTCTTCGGTCTCTTGATGACTTTCATCTGACTCTACCAAACCTGTTCCTGAAAAACTAAGAAAGGCCATGTGGGATGACATCGTGTAGCTAGATTTTCTTGGTAGCAGTTTGGGGTTATAGGGGTACAGCATTAATAGGATTTCAGTTTCTTTTTCTTTTCTTTTTTCGGAGAGGTTTTTGCTATAGGGCACATGCACTCGCCAGAAAGACAGAGACAGAGAGATAGAAAGCGAGAAATCACCCTCCAGGGTGAATGGCCACGCCGCAATCCCTTCTCCTCCATTCTCCTTTTGGGATCTTGGGCATGTATGCACACACGCCCCAGCGTGGGTTTAAGCCACTGAGTCCGGGACGCAAACCATGGTCAACTACATGGGAGTCCAGCAACATAGCCATTACACCAACTGCTGGTCCCGAATTTCAATTTCTTACAACTGTCAAACACAAAGAAAACCAAATAAAGTGTACCTTAAACTTAATTTATGTTCATGAATTATCTCTTACCTCAGGTCAGGTTTCTGCAGGGTGTGGGAGTGAAAGGGTGGAGAGCAGAGAAGGAATTAGAAGAAAATGCAAAACAGTAAATGAAGAGAAAATTATGCCAAATGCTGTGCTTTCTCAAGCCGGCACTGCAGGGCTAGTTGGGCAGCCATGACTCTCAGGCATGCAAGTGGTTGTCTTGACTTTACTAACCTGGAGTTTGGTAAAGGCAGCATTTTATTCAGTACTGCAAATTCAGGGATGTCTCTAATTGTTTCCTACAAGGAAGGAAAGGGTGAATGTTAACAGGTATAATAGTCAACGTTGGCAATGTGACCTTGTGATTTATATGAGGGATTTCAAAAGATCTGTGGAGGAAGAAGAAATTAGAGCATAATGGGTGAGTTTTTAAGTTTGCTTGATATCTTCAAATACCTTGTATTGATCAATATAATGATAGACATTTAATGATTTAATTAGGTTTCTCTTCAGCAGAGCACTTACATGGTTAATTCATTTTTTTTCCCCCAGGTTTTTGCCACAGGGCACATGCGCTTGCTGGAGAGAGACAGAAAGAGACAGTGAAAGGGAAAGTGAGAAATCATCCCCCCAAGGGGATTGCTACCCTGCAATCCCTTCCCCTCTTATCTCCTCCCAGGACTTTGGGCGCACATGCACAAAAGCCAGCGTGAGTTTCAAGCTGCCAGGTCCAGGACTCAAACCACAGTCAACCATGGAGTGGGGAGGCCAGCACCTTATCCACCATGCCAGCTGCTGGTCCTCATAAATACTTTGTTTTAAAAGATGGTTACTGAGGTTAAAGTGGAATCATGCACATAAATCATGGGTATACTCCTTAGTGAGTAGTTGGCATTCAATAAATGATAGCTCCGTCCTCGCAGACCACACGCGTTTGCTTGTTCTTGCAGGACACGTTCAGTGAGGTCCTCTGTATCAGGTATGTGTATGTATTATTTAATTTTCACAACAACCTTGCAGGATTTGGCATTAACTGTTTTTATTAATTATCATTATTTTTTTGTTCATTATTATAATTTTTTATTTATTACTTAATTTGACCAAGGAGAGACAGTGGGGGTGGAGGGCGAGGGTAGGGGAGTGAGAAAGCAAGCTGCCATGTCCAGAACTCGAAGTGCAGTCAGCCATGTGAGAGTCCAGTGCCCTAACTACCATGCCACATGCCGGCATGTCCTCGATTCCCCAAGTCTTTCCCAATAAACTATTTTCATTTCTTTTCCTTCTTTTTTTTTTGTTTTTTTTTGTTTGTTTAGAGAGACTTTTTTGCTATAGGGTATGTGTGCTCGCCAGAGAGAGATGAGAGATAGAAAACGAGAAATCACCCCCTGAGGCAATGGCCATACCGCAATCCCTTCTCCTCCAGTCTCCTCTCAGGATCTTGGGCACACACGCACACGTGCCCGGCATGAGGGTTTCTTTGTTTAATAGTTATTTATTCATTTATTTAATTCCATTTGTTATCATTATTTTTAATTTGACCAGAGAGACAGAACGAAAGAAAGGGAAAGTGAGAAAGCAAACTGCCAGGTCCAGGACTCAAACCACGGTTGGCCATGTGGGAGTCCAGTACCTTTAACCACCATGCCACCTGCCCCCACCATGAGTTTTTAGCCACCAGGTCCAAGACTAGAACCACATTCGACTACGTGGGAGTCCAGTGATGTAACCATTCCACCACTTGCTGGTCCCAGTATTAACTGTTAATGCTCACATTTGAGATGTAGGAACCAAATCTCAGAGATGAAAGGACATGGCACAATCTAACCACATAGAACCAGAATTCAAGCCTCCATCTCTTAACTCCCGGTCCAGTAAAATTTCTAATATGTTATTGTTTTCTCTGAATGCTTGTTTTTCTTTTCTCTTTATATGAGCTTCTCACTTCTTTCAGGATAATCAAGAACTTCTCACATGAACTGGTTCGTCTACATCAGAGGTTAAACTGACATCCAAATACAGGGAGTCATTAAACCCTTGTAATTGTGTGTGAAACAGTCTGTGTGGGTTGGTGTTTTTAATGGCAAAAGTGTTTGGTTTTTAAAATCCTAGGGATCAATTAAGGTACCTTTTTAATGTGATTTAAAGGGACAGAAAGTGTTTATCATAGTACTAAATAAAATCTTCGCTAGAGGGCCAGCTGGCGGGATGGTGGTTAAGGCAGCTAGCTCTCACATGGGCAATGTGCCGTCAGAGTACCAGCCCCAGAGGATTGAAAACCACACTGAATGTGTGTGTATGCATTCCCAAAATCTCAAGAGGAAAACGGGTTGTGGGGTGGCCAGCCCCCCGGAAAGTGCTTTCTCATCCCCCATCACCAGCTCCCTCCAGCAAGTGCATGCGCCTTATAGCAATTTTTTAAGAAGAATTATTTTATCTTTATTTATTTATTTATTTATTTTAATTTGACTATAGAGGAACAGAGTGAGAGAGAGAGAAGGTGAGAAAGCAAGCCACCAGGTACAGGATTTGAACCGTGGTCGGCCATGTGGGAGTTCAGTGCCCTTAACCACCATGCCACCTGCCATCCCCTTTATAGCAATTTTAAAAACATATTTATTGGAACTAGCTGGTGGCGTAGTGGCTAAGGTGCTGGACACTCCCACATGGCCGACCCCGGTTTGAGTCCTGGGCCTGGTGGCTTGCTTTCTCGGTTTCCCTCTCTCTTTTTATCTCTCTCTGTGTGTTTCTCTGCTCAAATTAAGAATAAATGAATGAATAAATAATATTAAATTAAAAAGTAATTATAAAAAATATTTATTTATTCTTATAATAAGATGTAGAGATACAATTCATGTAACTCATTTAAAGCACACAATTTGATGGGCTTTAGTATGTTTGCAGAGTCGTACACCTATTACCAAAATCACTTTTAGAATATTCTCATTGCTCCCAGTATAAATGGCATGCCTTTTGCTGGGCTCCTTGTCCCGTAACCCCGAACCCTCTACTTTCTATGGCTGTAGGGTTGCCTATTCCAGACATCTTATTTCAGTGGAATCTCCATGGTCTTTTGTGGTTGGCTTCTTTCACTTAGTGTACTATTTTTAAAGTTCATTATATTATAGCATAGATTAATACTTTATTCCTTTTTATGACCAAATTATACACCACCACATTTTATTTATACATTCATTAGTTTGTGGACATTTGGGTTTCTTGTACCTTTCGGCTGTTATAAGAAATTCCACCACAAACGCTTTTGTAGAGATGTTTGTGTGGAACAGCCATCCTTAGTGTGTCATACTTCATTCTCCCAGATGAGGGAACTAGAAGGTAAATCAGCGGGCCCATCTTAACTCACACCGTGCTGAGCTAGGATTTGTCATACGCAGTGCAATGAAAACATTATCAAAGGCACAAAGCCAGGGTTTGAGAAGTAACAATGCAGAAACAGCTTCATGTAAAAGAAGATATTTAGGTTGAGTTCCAAGGGAACAGAAGCCAGCCCAGAGAAATTCTGGGGGAAGGAATTCACAGGAGAGGGAATGGAGAGAGGGCATTCCTAGATGAGCCTGGAGCTGATGGCATGTAGGATTCAGGGACTGGACAGTGTGGAACACTGAACAAAAAGGCCAATCCATAAGACCGGCAGTGGCCAAGTCATGAAGAGTGTGATTGTGTTGAAAATTTGGGTTTTATCCTCAAAACTGTGGGAAGCCACTACATGGTTTTCAGTCAAAACCCAGACTGTATTTTCTAAAGATCCCTCTGGCTGCAGACAGTAAGAATTACAGGGTTTTGAGGCAGGCTTGATAACCTAGTGGTTAAGGGAACCAGACACCACATGGCCGACCGTGGTTCAAATCCTGGTCCCGTGGCTTGAAAAACATGTCAGGCATGTGTGCATGCATGGTCCAAGTCTCCACAAGAAGACATAAATAGAGGGGAAGGGATTGCAGCATGGTCACACTCCACTGAGAGGTGCTGTCTCCTCTTTCCTCACTCTCTGGTCAGTGCACGCATTCACTGGAAATTAAAAAGAATTATAGGACTTTCAATTCTTCTTCTCCTTTCTTTCTTTTTCTTTTTTCTTTTTTTTTTTTTTTTTTTTGAGAGAGAGATTTTTGCTATAGGCTTTGTGAACTTACTGGAGAGACAGAGAGACAGAAAACAAGAAATCACTCCCCAGAGGGGATGGCCATATTTAATCCCTTCTTTTCCAGTCTTCTCTTGGAATTTTGGGTGTGTACCCACACATGCCCCAAGTGAGTTTCAAGCCACTGAATCCAGGACTAGAACCACAGTTGGCCACATGGGAGTCCAGTGACATAACCACTATGCCATCTGCTGATCCCAAGGACTTTTTTTTGGAGAAGTTTTTGCTATAAGGCACATGTTCTTGCCAGACAGAGAGAGATGGAGAAACAGAAAGTGAGAAATCATCCCCCAGTGGGGATGGCCACGCTGCAATCCCTTCTCCTTCATTCTCCTCTTGGGGTCTTGGGCACGCACGCAAACGCGCCCAGCATGAGTTTTAAGCCACCGGGTCTGGGTCTTGAATTGCAGCCAACTACATGGGAGTCCAACAACATAGCCATTACACTAACTGCTGGTCCGCCCAAGGACTTTTGAAGAGAAAAGCTGGGAATCTGAAACAAGGGTTATGAGTGTGTCCTTCCTAGTAAGGAAATAGATGACACAGAGAGAGAAAACTTCAGAGCTTTTGAGGAAACTGTAAATAGTCTGGTTTCACTTGATCAGGCCAGTTTGATGTCAGAAAGGTATTCGGCCTATGGAGTTACTACATGGCTTCGGTTCTTCTGGCATAGACACAGCCACCCTGGAAATCCCGAACCACCGGGCAGGTTCAGACTCCCCTCCTCTGGCTCCACAGCAGTCGGTGTCTCTTGCTGTGTAGGACTTACAGAAACTTATGTGGCTCTCAGTTACATGATGTCACCCTCTCTCAGCTGAGTTCTGTGAGGGAGACACTGTTTCTCATCCATCATTTTATCCTAACCCTGGGGGAAATCTGTACAGGGTCCCCGGCACACTGCATGTGTGCAATGAATATTGCTGACTGAATGAACTTTATCTCTGAAACCCTTTGAGATGAGGTACTGTGAAATCAAGGAGTGCTTCATGAAGATCAGTCTGGCAGCATGTGCAGACGGACAGACTGAAGAGGAAGAGAAACTAAAAGCAGCTGAGTTAATAAGGTGCTTGGGGGCCAGCCAGTGGCATGGTGGTTAAGGCAACTGGATCTCACACGGCTGACTGCTCAGTTTGAGTTCCGGATCTGGAGGCCTGAAAAACATGCCAGGTACAGGGCCAGCAGGTAGTGTGGTGGTTAAGGGCACTGGACTTCCACATGGCTGACGACGGTTCAAGTCCCGGGCCTGGTGACATTTTTTCTCACTTTCCTTCTCTCTCTCTCTCACTCTGTTCCTCTCTGGTCAAATTAAAATAGATGAATGAATAAATAACTAAATAAAGTTTAATAAAATAATTCTTAAAAAATAAACAGCACCCCAATGGGGTCTGGATGCTATGATCTGTCTCCAGCCTCAGGAAGCCCTGGACCACAGGCACATGCTTGCACAGAATGCTCATGTAGGCTTCTTTGGACATGAACTTGGGACCTCTGCATTTGGGTCAGCCTCATAGAGCGTCATGGTTACCACGTGCCACTGCCCAGCCCCACTCAGGGAATACTGAGATTCAGAGCACAGCTCTGACCCGCGTAGCATTCCCTACCTTGATCTAAAGGTAGCGTTTTGTGTCTCAGAGCTATTGGTCCTAGCACATATCCACTGTCTTCTAGCTCCGCCTTGTAATACCACAGTACTTGTTTATCTATGTATCTGTCCTCTGCTGGGCTGAAGCCTCAGAAAACAGAAACTGTCTTTGTAGCCCCAGGACCTCACCTTAGAGTTAATTAACATTTACTGAACAAATAAGAAAAAGAGTGAATGACTAGACACTGGGGAAAAAATGGAAAAACTACTGGAAATCAGGCCACATAATCTAGCAGTACACTTTTTTTTTTTGGAGAGGATTTTTGCTATAGGGTGCGTGCACAGACAGAGAGAAAGAAAATGAGAATTCATCCTCCCAGGGGGATGACCACATGACAATCCCTTCTCCTCCATTCTCCTCTTGGGATCTTGGGCACGCACCTGCACACACCCGGTGTGAGTTTAAGCCACCAGGTCTGAAACTCGAACTGTGGTCGACTACATCGGAGTCCAGCGATATAGCCATTACACCAACTGCTTGTCCCTAGCAGTGTGCTTTTTACAAAACCAGCAGAACAATTCACATAGCTTGGAAATCGTCACGTTTCTGAAAGCAAGAAGCAGGATCCACTGGGAAGTATCTCGGGAAGAAGCATCTAGCAGGTGGGTGCAGAATACAATTTCGCTCACCAGACTCTGGACCTCACCTGAACCTTCATGATTCTCTGCATCTCTCTGGACTTGGCTACTTGTCTGCTTGGGCGTGGGGGACGTAATTGCTTTTTTCTAGCTCAGATGCTTCCCTTAGGCTAGATTCCTTGCCAGACCAGATTGGCTTTACTTCAGTTCTCCGAGCCTCAGATTTCCTCATCTTTCAGATGGGTCTAGAATAACTCTTGGCAAACAAGGTAGTTGAGAAGAGGCACATATGTGAAAAAGATTGAACATTTATGCATGCTCAAACACTTACAGAGCACCTGTCCATAGGCACAGTGTGTACGAGATACGAACCTTGGCCTCCAGGATCCTCTCCTGAGTTAACATGATAGGGAAGGAAAACGCAATGACAGGGCTGGCCCCATGGCCTAGTAGTTAAGGCAGCCAGGTCCCAGCTAGTCAACTGTGCTGTTCGGACCCTGACCCAGCAGCTTGAAAAAATACGCCGGGAGCATGTGCATGCACGCTCAAAATCCCAAGGCGGAGAAATGAAGGGATTGCAGTGTGACTATGCCCCTCCTGGGGGTGTTTTCTCCCTCCCTCCCTTTCTCTGACAAGCACATGCGCTCTCTGGCAGAAAATGAGACATGGCAATAGAGTGTGTTAAGGAGGAAGCCACGAGGCACACACAGAGGGCCCTGGGATCACACAGGAGCCACATGGTGAGTAAAAGCCAACACAGAAAAGAGAGAAGCTGGTCAAGCACAGTCTCGGGCTCTGCAGCTCTGGCACATAACAAAGGCGCTTCTTTGCCCTAGGCCACCACGAGCCCAAGACAGGCGACAGCGACAGCGCTATGATGGTGAAGGGAAGAAGGCACAGCAATCTTGGCAACCAGACTGCAGGGAAGGACCCAACAGGAGCACACATCTTACCTCCCCTCTGTGGATCTGGATACGGCAGATGGTGCGCTCTAGGAGGCCAACCTGCTGTGTGAGCCGGAAATTATTTTCCTGTAATTGCCTATTTTCTTTATCCAGGATTCGTACCCTAAGAATGGCATAAATCAGAGGCATAACTAGAAGTTCCTGAATCACTACTAAAATCTATGTCCCACTTACCACTTGCTCTGTTTCTTTTTTAGAATCATTTCTTTAATTTTATTTGTTATCGTTATTGTTTTACTATAGGACATATGCGCCCAGGAGAGAGTGGGAGAGAGAGAGAGAGAGAGAGAGTGCAAGCTGCTAGGTACAAGACTCAAACCACAGTCGGCCATGTGAGAGTCCAGCGCCTTAATCACCATACCACTGCTGGCCCCAGGGTGTTAGACTGCTACTCAGACTTTAGAACCAAGTTTGGTGCAATGATTTCTACCATATTCCAAGACTAGGAAAAGTGAATAAGCAAGCTGGCTCCATGGTCTGGTAAATAAGGCAGCTGGATCCCACATGGCTGACCACATAGTTCCAGTCTCAGGCCCTATACCTCGAGAAACACATTGGACATACATGTGTATGTGCCCTCAATCTCAAAAGGAGGGAGAAATAGAAGGAAAGGGATTAGGGGTGTAACTATCTCCAGGGGGAGGGTACTTTCTCCACTACCTTTCCGTTTCTCTGTCTCTCTCTGGTGAGCACATGTACCCTATAGCAAAAATAATAATAATAATAATAATAATAATAATGCATTTCTGACCTGTACATGGTTATTAAATACATGTGCAAGAATTTGAAACATGCAATTCTATCCCTTAAGAAATTTAAGGAAGGGGATCAGCAGATGGTGTAATGGCTATGTTGTTGGACTCCCATGTGGTTGACCGTGTTTCGAGTCCTGGACCTGGTGGCTTAAACTCACCCTGGGCAAACAACAACCAAAACCAAACCAAATAAGACAACTTTGAAATCTGTGTGTGTAATCTTTCATAACACATGTTTTCCACAAGCTTTTTGAAGTATCCTCATATATACTGTTGTGATACCTATTTTTTTTATTTGACTTTATTTACATGCTTATTTTAATTTGACCAGAGAGGAGCAGAGTCAGAGAGATAGAGAAAGAGATAAAGTAAGAAGTCAAGCCGCCAGGCCCAGGACTTGAACCACGATTGGCCGAGTGGGAATCCAGCACCCTTAACACCATGCTACTTGCTGGCCCCTGATATCTATTTTTTTTAAAAGAATTATTTTATTTAACTTTATTTACTCATTTATTCACTTTTAAATTGACCAGAGAGAGAGAGAAAATGAGAAAGCAAGCCACCAGCTCTGGTACTTGAACCATGGTTGGCCATGTGGGAGTCCAGCACCATTAACCACCACACCACCCGCCGGCTCAGTGCAGCCTATTTTATAGGTGAGGAAAGTAAGGCTCAGGGAAAGTAACTTTTTTGTTTAAAGAGTATTTATTTATTAAATTCCATTTGTTATTATTATTTTAAAATTTGACCAAAGAGAGAGAGACAAAGAGAGAAAGGGAAAGTGAAAAAGCAAGCTGCCGGGTCTGGGACTCAAACCATGGTCGGCCATGTGGGAGTCCAGCTCCTTTTACCACCGTACCACCTGCAGAAAACTTTTTCTTTTTCTTTTCTTTTTTTTGGAGAGGTTTTTGCTGCAGGGCGTGTGTGCTTGCCAGAGAGATAGAGAGACAGAAGGTAAGAAACCACTCCCCAGGGGGGATGACCACGCCACATTTCTTTCTCCTCTATTCTCCCCTCGGGATCTTAAACTCACATGCACACACACCCAGTGTGAGTTTAAGCCACCAGGTCCGGGTCTTGAACCTTGGCCGACTTCATGGGAGTCCAGCAACATAGCCATTACACCAACTGCTGGTTCCGAACCTTTTCTTAAGAGAGAGATTTTTGCTATAGGGTGCACTCACTAGAAAGACAGAGACAGAGAGAAAGAAAGTGAGAAATCACCCCCCAGGGGTCATGGCCATGCCACAATGTCTTCTCCTCCATCCTCCTCTTGGAATTTTGGGCCTACATGCACACATATGTGCCCAGGGTGTTTTAAGCCATCGTATCTGGGACTTGAACCATGATCGACTACGTGAGAGTCCAGCAATGTAACCATTATGCCATCTGCTGGTCCCAGGAAAATAACTTGTTTAAGAAATAAAAATAGAAATTTGTAGAACTGGAGTGCCAACCCAAATCTTTATGATTTCCAAGCTTGAACTCTCACCACTGTGCTAGGCTCATCTCCAGGGTCATATTTATTTGGGAGACATGACAGTATGATAGTGTTGTGACCAGCAGTCGGCATAATGGCTATGTCGCTGGACTCCCATGTAGTCAACCACAGTTAGAGTCCTGGACCTGGTGGCTTAAACTCATGCCAGGTGTGTGTGCGTGCATGGCCAAAATCCCAAGGCGAGAATGGAGGAGAAGGGATTGCAGCATGGCTATCCCCCCGGGGGGTGATTTCTTGCTTTCTGTCTCTCTGTCTCTGTCATTCTGGCAAGCGCACACGCCCTATAGCAAAAACCCTCTAAAAAAAAAAAAAACAGTATAATAGTGTTGATCTGAAAGCTGTGCTTGAGATCTGGATCAGCTGCTTATTAGCTGTGCTACCCTTTGCAAATTACAAGTCCAACAATGAGGAAATGGGGGCTGGCAGATTGACATGGTGGTCGAGACACTGGATTTCCTCTTGGCTCAGCATGATTTCAGTGTCAGACCTGGTGGCTTGCTTCCTCATTTTCCCTCTCTGTCTCTCTCTAGTCAAATTTTAAGATGAATAATAACAATAAAAAAAGAATGAGGAAATACCCTGATGATGAAATTTACTCTAAGAAAAACATCATTGTCCAACCCAAGTGACTAGATTGTGTCATTTGGAGGGGAAGACAGGAGCATTATTAATGGCAAGGCCACGGTAATGAGACCATTGGGTTGGGCCCTGACTCTCAGAAGCTAGGACATAGTTTGAGAAGGACAATGACTTCTATGGGGGAGGTAAAAGGGAAGCTACAGACAGTAAAAGACAATCAGAGACCCTCCAGGCCTTCCCAGTGGTCAGTGTGCCCAAAGCAGTGGATAGGGGAGCTCCAGTCTGCTTGGCAGGTCCCTACCCAGACTCCAGTCTGCAGTGTAGGGCAGGTTGTGCAGGTTCTCACACTGCTCTGCCCTGACCAGGCTGGGAGAGTTCCCTAGCCTCTCCGAACCTTAGCTACCTCATCCAGAAAACACAGCAAATCAGGGCCTCCATCCTGGGACTGGTGTTAGAATTAAATAGATTGAGTGGGTTTAGAACAGTGTCGAGTGTATGGTAAGTGCTCAAATGTTAATCGTTACAGTTACTACCAATGACAATTATCTGCTAAGCTCAGTCCACTCTCTTTGCTCTGATTCTTGCTCTAAGAAAACTTTTGGTTGTCATTCAAGTTTCCATGGAGGAAAGAATGCTCTGGGTGACCAATACTGGAATTCTGATCTGTTTGGAATATTTCTCATTAAAAAGTTGCTATATTGGTGAGCCAGTCCCACAGCCTGGTGGTTAAGGAAGCTGAACCCCACATGGGTGACTGCGGATTGAATCCTGGCCCTGTTGGCTTGAAAAACATGCCAGGTATGTGTGTGTGTGTGTGTACGCCCCAAGCCCCAACAGAATGGAGACATGAGGAGAAGGGACTACAAGCATGACTACGCCCCATTTGGGGGTGCTTTCTCTCTCTCTGTCTCTCTCTCTCTCTGTCTCCCTTTGGCAAGCACACGTGCCCTCTGATAAAATTTATTTTTAAAATTAATATACTGGTATCCTGTGGGTTCCATAAATTTAAGTCATCCCTGTGGGCTTGATTCTGTCGCCATCTGCCTTGATTCCATAGGTATCAAATGATAAAGATGGGTGTCAACATGCACACAACGACAGGCCAGAATATGCACAGCTGGCTTCTCAGTGAGGCAACAGGGCTATAAAAGAGCCTATGTGGGCCAGCCAGTGGCATGGTGGTTAACACAACTGGATCCCACATGGCTGACTGCACAGTTCAAGCCCTGTACCCTGCAGCCTGAAAAACATGCCGTGGCCGTGTGCCTGTGTGCCCAAAATCCCAAAAGAAGAAATGGAAGAGAAGGGATTATGGCATGGCCATCCCCCATGGGGATTGGGGGTGCTTTCTCATCTTCCCTCTTCCCCTAGCAAGCATGTGTGCCTTCTAGCAAATTTAAAAAGAAAGAAAGTGCCTATCTGAGTGGCTGTGTAGCAGCCACCTCCCTATTTTTCTTTTGACTTCACAGCTTTTCTGACTTGCACGATCTGCTGAAGACAGCTGATAGCAGAACAAGAGTTACAGGATGGGCCGTCAGACTCAAAGGAAAGTGTCTGCAACCACCCCTCTGTGGAGTGCAGCAGCCTGTTCCTACCTGCCTTGGATTGAAGACACCATCCATGTGCTGTTGTGGGCCAATTCTTCCTGCTCGGCAAATTGCTCGAGAAGTTTCCTGTTCTCCAGGAGCAGGGTATCATTTTGAGCAATGACCTGATCTTGTAATGCCTTCTCCTAGGGATTAGAAAGTTTTTGAACTACCACAGTAGGAGAGAGAAGTATTCATTTAAGTGCATCAGGATGTTCCTAAACTCAGCCAGCAAGTTTCCCCACACTTACTTATTTTCTTCTGTCCCCTATTCTATGCCCACCTGTTTGCTCCCATTGGCACTCATTAAAGCTAGATAGGTCTTCCGTTTATTTTGGTCATATATTTTGTTTGGGCATTTAATTGTTCTTTTGTGTTAATATTTAAAAATATGTGAACACTGGGTCAGTCAGTAGGCTGATGAGTAAGGTGGTTGGACCCTACATGGCTGGCTGGGCAGTTCCAAGTCCTGGATCTCGGTGGCTTGGGAAATATGCCAGGCACGTAGTGTGTGTGCCCAAAAATCTCGAGAGGAGACTGGAGAAGGAGAGATTGTTGTGTGGCCATCCTCCCTGAGGGGTGCTGTCTCGCTTTCCCTCTCTCTGTCGAGCATGTGTGCCCTATATTGAACTAAAGCAAACACACAAACAAACAACCTTGAGCACGTGACTTCCGGTAAGATTCCAATGCACTCATCTATGTTCTAACTCCACAGGCATCTAGGTATCAAACCATCAACAAACACAACTGAACTCTCTAAAGCTCCATATTAAAAACTTTACCATTTAATGCATTTCATCTGTTTTGTAGTCATATTCTTTTTAAGGCAGAGTGAGGAAGATAAGAATTTAGCCACTGCATTTGGCAGTGTCAGGATCTCAGCTGGCACGGCAAGTCAAATATGGAAGCCATGGACTGAAACCGTCCCTGCAATAACCACGTGCAGTGATTTCTAGCCCAACCATGTCTTCTTTCTTTTTCTAAAACATCTTAAAAGTTTATTTATTGATTAATGTTTATAATTTGCTACAGGGCATGTGTGCCCCCCAGAGAGAGACAGTGAGAGAGAAAGTGAGAAAGCAAAGCCACCAGGTCTGGGACTCGAAACCACCATGCCACCTGCTGGCTTCCTATGTTTTCTTTCCTATCAGTGATTTTCCCCCAAAGCAAGGGCTAGTGAAGTTACAGCTAAAATGATACAGGTGTGCATTTTGTGAAAACAAAACCAAATGAAAAGACACTAATATTCTTAAACTGAGTCAGTGGTTATTAGTAAATATCACTCTTGGTAAGGTGTCTAGGGCTCAAAAGTGTAGAATTACCAGTTTCAACTCACTAATAACCTGCCGATGGTAAAAGGCCTGTTGGTGAGGAAGTGAGTGGGGGTAGGAGGAGAATAACCACCTCTGGCACAGGGGTTAGTGTCGGGACCATGCAGACAACACAGGTTTAAGAAGGCCAACTTTACATATTTCTTTTAAATAAGATATTAACATAAATCCTTTGGAATGGATCCTGCTGGCCCCTGTCCATCCATTATTAAGTAAGTATAAGAAAGAACATTAGATTATGTTCTGAAACAAATCATTCCAGATTTTAAAGTCCTTCTCCAGGATCCTTTGACGTCTAATGATAGTCTTTCTTGCTATCTAAGGACATTTAATCAATAAGGTATTGGTTGGGGTCACTATGCGGTATGGTGGTTAAGGTATTGGACTCCCACATGGCCGACTTTGGTAACAGTCCTGGACCTGGTGCCTTGTTTTCTCACTTGCCCTTTTTTGTTCTCTCTGGTGACTGCACGTTGTCCTAGAGCAAATTTTAAAATAATAATAAATAAAAATTAAAAACATTAATAATGTATTGGTAAGGCCTGAGAAAGGGTATTGGATGAGGAAGGCTACTGACACCCTATCCATCTGTGGTTTTGTGAGTATACAGTTGTTCTCAGGAAAAGTCAAAGATGATGTTCAACTTCCTGGCATGGCCCAAAGTAGAAACAGATTAGAAGAGAGTTTAGGGAGCTGGGACCAGCAACAGATACAGCCTGTCCTCAGCATTGCCTTCGCAACGTCCACCCACTCCACGTGCGTGCCTTACACCGTGACGCCCCTACCCCACCTGTTGTATCCTGACTGGAGGCTCTCAGCCTCAGCTTACAAATGAACTGATCTCATTGTGGAGAGCAGAATATTTTCAGGGTCCCATTTCATTTAGCAACACTATGAGTCTTACATACTTTTTGGCAGAACTTAAGGGATCACTCACATTGAAAGACAGCACAAACAAATGAAAACAAGGGCTATGAAGAGTCCATGAATAAAAAAATGGCTTCCTCTAATGACCAGCCACCAGCATCCTCAGTGAGAGCTTCACGTTGAATTCTTTCTCACCTTTTCTATTTGTTGTTGCAGCATTCCAATTTCACATTCGAGGTATTTAATTCTCTCATCTCGTACTTTTACTTCATGAACTGAACGATCCTTGACTTTCTGAAGCTTGGTTTTGTGGCGATGATGTTTCTCATTAGACTTTCTATAAAAGTAAATTTGAGTATAGGCACACTTAAACACAGTTAGAGTTTATTTCACCTCCTCTACATGCATCTTTTTTATTTAAAAAAAATTACTTATTTAATTTTATTCATTATTATTACTATTTTCATACCTTAGCTGTAGGGCACATGCACCTACCAGAGAGAGACACACAGAGAGAGCAGCAAAGTGAGAAAGCAGGCTTCTAGGTCTGGCACTCGAACGATGGTCAGCCACGTGGAAATTCAGCACTCTAACTACCACACCACTCGCGGGGCCCCACATGCACCTTTCTTGAGCTCCTTTTCTTGCTCACGGCAGGGGCCTGGGTTCATTAAAGATACTTTTCCTGCCTCACATCTTCTTGCCCCTATGTAGGGGAATGGATCAAAAGTAATCTATAACTCCCTTCATAGCACCAGCTTTGTCCCCATTGACTCAAGTCTGTGGCTTACCTTGGTCTTGAGCTGGTGGTTGTGGTATAGCTTTAGCATCTGAGTTGAATGCAGGAAACATCTTGACTGCTATTCCCTGACGTCTGGATTCTGAAACCTGTTCCACTGACTCAACCATTCACCATTTTTTTTTCTTTTTTTTGGAGAGGTGGTTTTTTTTTTGCTATAGGGCGTGTGCACTCGCCAGACAGAGAGAGACAGAGAGACAGAAAGCGAGAAATCACCCCCCGGGGGGATGGTCACGCCGCAATGCCTTCTCCTCCATTCTCCTCTCGGATCTTGGGTACGCACGCACACGCGCCCGGCATGAGTTTTAAGCCACCAGGTCCAGGACACGAACCACGGTCAACTAGGTGGGAGTCCAGCGACATAGCCATTACGCTAACTGCTGGTCCCCAGCCATTCACTTAAAACGTTCTAGCTGCTGTTTAAACCCTTAGAACATGATATACCCAATTCAAGACCACCTAATTTCCAGCTACCTACTGGGCCTGTGCTCAGTTCTTGCATGAAGTCTGGGCTTCTAAATGCTCAAAACTCTTACTTTGATTATGACATAATCTAAGTTACCACCAATAAGCACATGAAAAGATGCTTAACATCATTAGCCATTAAGGAAACACAAATCAAAATCACAATGAGATACCACTTCACACCTGCTAGGATGCCTCAAATTAAAAAGTCAGATAACAAGTACTGACAGCCCGGCAGATTGCATGGAGGTTAAGGGCGCTGGATTCCCACAAGGCCAACAGTGGTTCGAGTCCCAGACCTGGTGACTCTCTTTCTCACACACACTCTCTCTCTCTCACTCTGTCCCTCTCTGGTCAAATAAAATGAATAAATAAAGTTAAATAAAATAATTCTTTGGGGAAAAAATTATAAGTGTTGACAAGGATGCAGACAGAAAGGTAAAATGAGGCCGCCTGTTTGAAAAACAGACTGTATTTCCTCAAACTGTTAAACAAAGAGTTGCCATATGACCCAGAAATTCTACTCCTATGTATATACCCTAGAAAAATGAAAATGAGGCCAGCCATGTAGTTCAGTGGTGAAAGAAGTGGCTAAGAGAATCCCATATAGCTGACCATGGTTCAAATCTCAGGCCAGATTGTTTGAAGAAATATGCTGGGTGCAGATGCATGCATGCCCCAAACTCCCAGCAGAATAGAGAAATGGAGAAGGGACTGTGGTCTCTCTCTGGCCAAAGGGGGTGAGGAGTAGAAACCAGATAGGATAGAAAGAACAAAACAGACTTTCCTAGAGGTTAATTCTAGTCAAACCAGAATGAAAGAACTATACTAAGAGAATCCTATGTCCTTGTCAGTTACGTCTTACCCTTAAATGTGTGGGTTTTTTTTTTTTTTTTTTGCTATAGGGCACGTGCGCTCACCAGACAGAGAGAGACAGAGAGACAGAAAGTGAGAAATCACCCCCCAGGGGGATGGCCACACCGCAATACCTTCTCCTCCGTTCTCCTCTCAGGATCTTGGGCACGCATGCACACGCACCCGGCGTGAGTTTTAAGCCACCGGGTCCGGAACGCGAACCGCAGTCCACTACATGGGAGTCCAGCGACATAGCCATTAGGGTAACTGCTGGTCCCACCCTTAAATGTGCTTTTGCAAGACTGCCATTTTCCAAAATAGTCTTCCCCCTTTTATTTACTAAGTGTACATAAAAGAATCATTTTATATATTTCTCTGTGAAAAGATTAATTTAACTGTTAGTCGAGTATTGAGCAGAGAAGTTAGGACTTCTGGAGGCCAGAACATCCATACCAAGCTAGACACAGCTTGTCTGCGTCTATGGTAGTGACAACTGCTGGGGTTGTCCCCAGTCCAATCTCTCCTTCTGTCATCATAGACCTCCAGGTTTTGGGGTTGCCCAGTGTATATTTTCTGGCTTTTCTTACAGCTGAATGAGGTTCATGTGAGTGGCCAACAGAATGTGAATGGAAGAAGCATCCCTTAAGGAAAATGGAATGCACCTGCCTTTCCACTTTCTTCTAACCGGCTGGAATGGAGATATGACAGTAAACTGTCCTTTATAAAAAATTACTCATGAAGGGGCCAGTAGGTGGCATGGTGGTTAAGGCACAGGACTCCCACGTGGCCGAATGCAATTCAAGTCCCAGAATTGGAAGCTTGCTTTCTTAACTTTCTTTCTCTGTCTCTTTCTCTGGTGAGACCATGTGCTCTACAGCAAATTAAAAAAAAAAAAATTAGTAACAATAAATGAAATAAAATGAATAATTATTTACAAAAAAAAATGTTCATGATAGAGCCAGCAGGTGGCAAGAAGATTCAGGTGCTGGATTCCACACGGCTGATTCCACAGTTTGAGACAGAGACAGAAAGCAAGAAATCACCCCCCGGGGGGATGGCCACGCCACCATCCCTTTTCTCCATTCTCCTCTTGGGATCTTGGGCACACACACACACATGCGCCCCATGTGAGTTTAAGCCACCGGGTCCAGGACTTGAATCGCAGTCAACTACATGGGAGTCCAGCGACATAGCCATTACGCTAACTGCTGGTCCCTGTTTGTTTTATTTTAAGAGGTTTTTGCCATAGGGCATATGCACTCACCAGAGAGAGACACACACACACACACAGAAACAGAGACAGTGAGAGGGAAAGTAAGAATTCACCCCTCGAGGGGATGGCCACGTCTAGATCACTTCTCCCCTAATTTCCTCCTGGAATTTTGGAATTTTGCACACATACCCCGTGTGATTTTCAAGCCTCCAGGTCTGGGATTGGGCTGCAGTCTGCCACGTGGGAGTCCAGCGACATAACTACCATAACTACTATACCATCTGCTGACCCCAGCTTATGTTTAAGTAAAACCAGATTGTCTATTACTTTGATTTCAAGAGGCCAAGAGAATTATAAATTAAAATAAAGAAGTAAATAAAAACAAAAAGGCAAGGAATGTGTTCCTCTGGAAGACTGGTTGGGAAAAACATGTAAAAAATAAGTATCTTCTATAAAGGTCAGGGCTGGCCTCAGAGGAATAGAAACAAAAATTAACCTGGAGTCTCGACAATTCCTTCTACTTTCTTTCCTAAATCTGTAGTTTTCAACTCGAGATGCACATTAGAATCATGTGGGGGTGACTTAGAAAAATACTGATGTGGGAAGCAGCACTTAGCGTAATGGCTATGTCGCTGGACTCCCACATAGTCGACCATGGTTCGTGTCCCGGACCCGGTGGCTTAAAACTCACGCCCAGCGCGTGTGCGTGTGTGCCCAGGATCCCGAGAGGAGAATGGAGGAGAAGGGATTGTGGCATGACCATCCCCCCTGGGGGATGATTTCTTGCTTTCTGTCTCTATGTCTCTGTCTGTCTGGCGAGCGCACGCGCCCTATAGCGAAAATCTCTCAAAAAAAAAAAAATATTGATGCATGGGCCACATGCCCAAAGGTTCTGACTACTCATCTCTGCCAGGGCCCGGCCTGTACAGCCAGGGTCGGGATCCCCTGTCCTCACGGTTATGTGCAAATAGCATGGAAAGAAATTCAGCCTCGCTAGCCATGAAAGTGGTTAATAAAAATAAAACGTCAGTTAAACAACTGCTGACTGCTGTATAGGTGCACATACAAATAAGGATATGATGAGCCAGCGGGTGGCACGTTGGTGAAGGCCCTGCGTCCCACCAACTTCACGGTTCAAGTCCCAAACCTAGTGACAAAAATCATACCAGGCACACGTGCATGCGTGCCCAAAATCCCAAGAGGAGAATGGAGAAGAAGGGGCGGGGCTGTGGTGTGACCATCCTGACCAGGGGGTGATTTCTCGCTTTCTCTCTCTCTGTTTGTCTCTGTCTCTCTGGCCAGCGTATGCGCCCTATAGCAAAAATCTCTTTTTAAAAAACAAAAACAAACAAACAAACAAAAAACCAAGAAATAGTGGGGAAAATTTCATCAGGGTCTTGTTCTTCCATCAAGAACATGTAAGCTGCAGGGGCCGGAAGGTGGCATGGTGGTTAAGACGTTGGACTCCCACATGGCTGACCACAGTTCAAGTCCTGGACCTGGGGGCTTGCTTTCTCACTTTCCCTCTCTCTCTTTTTCTCTCTTTCTCTGGTGAACATATGTGCCCTGTAGCAAATTAAAAAATAATAATAATAACAATAAATAAAACTAAATAAAAAGTTCTTTAAAAAAACAATACTAATGTGGATTTAGTGAAATTGCTACTCTCATAACAGTAGCAGAAAAATCTGGCACAATGCTTCTGAATGGATTTCAATACAGTTTTAAGATCCATGGTTATGTGAAAATACATTTTTTTTTTGAGAGGTTTTTGCTATAGGGTGTGCGCTTGCCAGAAAGACAGAGAGAGACAGAGAGACAGAAAGTGAGAAATCACCCCCTGGGAGGATGGCCACGCCACAATCCCTT